ACCGGCTAGATGGGAATCTGCCCGGCGCCGAGTGACGTCACTGAGATATCGGGTTACCATTGGCGGACAGTAAATACCGGCGCCAATGGCGGCGCTGGAGGCGGCCCTGTGGGTGGGGCCAGGGCTGTGCGCGGGGCCGGGCCGGGTTGGGTTGGGCTGGGTTGGGTTGGGTTGCAGCGGAGCAGCGCCATGGCTGCAGCGCTGGGTCTGGGGGCGCTCTGGGGGCTCCTGGGGCTCCTCGGGGACCCGGGGGTGGCCACGAAAGGTGAGTGGGAACCCCGAAACCGGGAAGCCTCTGAACTTCCATTTCCGGACACCGGGACCTTCCTGAACTTCTCTTACCGGGCATGGGAACCCCCCATAACCCCATTTTGGGTCCTGTGAACCCTCTGAATCCCCTTCCCCATTATCAGAACCCCTCTGTCCCCTTTCATCTGACACCGGGACCCCCCTGTACCCCTATTCCTGGGCAGGGAAACCCCCCCCGAACCTCCATTCCCGGGCATCAGAATCCGCTGAGCCCCCATTCCTGAGCACGGGCACCCCCTGAGCGCCCATTTATGGGCACCGGGACCCCCCTGTACCCCCTTCCCCAGCACCGGGACCCCCCTGAACCCCCATTTCTGGACACCAGGACCTACTTGAACCCTGAATTCCGAGAAGAGAATCCCCTGAACCCCCATTCCTGGGCAGGGAAACCTCCCTGAACCCCCATTCCTGGATAGGGAAACTCCCCTGGACCCCCATTCCTGGGCACGGGGACCCCCCTGCACCGCCTTATCTGGCCCCGGGACCCACCGGATCTCCCATTCCTGGGGTTCAGGATCTCTTTGAACCCCGAACCGCAGCACGGGAACCCCCCTGAATCTCCATTTCCGGGCGCCGGGACCCCCCTGCACCCCTTTATCCGGGACTGGGACCCCCCCCGCACCCCCGTCAATGTTCTGGGACCGGGATCCGCCCGCCTCTCCCAGCCCCAGCCCCCCCTTTCCGTGACCCAGGGACCCCCTGGAGCCCCATTCCTGCCTTTCCCAGCTCCCAGACCCCACTCCCCTCAACACCGGGCACCCCTGGACCCCCTTTGGTGGGCACAGGGACCCCCTGGATCCCCCATCCTGCCTCTCCCAGTCCCTTCCTTGAACCTTGGACCCTTCTGGCTCTCCCAGTTCTGGTTCCTGGGTCTTGGATGCCCCCAGACCCCCCAAGTCTCTGCATCCCCCCAGTTCTTCACACCCTGCTCATCCTGCAGGGGGGTCTCAGGGGGTCCGGGAGGGTCCCAGGGGGGATTCTGGGCACTGGGACTCCCCTGAATTTCCAGTTCTGGGTACTGGTACCCCCCTGCACCCCCTTATCCAGTACCAATCCTTCCTTGCACTCCCTTTCTCATCCATCCTTCCTTTCCTAGCCCTCAGATCCCCTTTTTCCTTTTCCCTTGGACCCCCTGGACCCCCATTTCTGCTTTTCTCAGCCCCCAGCTCCCCCTTTCCTCTGCATCAAGGACCCCTGAGCCCTTCATTCCCAGGTCTGCCCACTTTGTGATCCCTTTCCTTGGCACTGGGGACCCCTGGACCCCCTTTCCTGGACACAGGGATCCCCTGGAACCCCCTCCCAAATCTCCCAGTCCCTGCACCTTCCATAACCCCGGAACCCCCTGAGCCCCCATTCCTGGACACCAGGACCCCCTGCAGGCCCTCTCCTGTCCATCCCACCTCTCCCACCCTGCACACCCTTTCCTCACCCCCAGGATCCCCAGACCCCTTCCCAGCTCTCCCAGTTCCCCTTTCATTGATCCATGACCCTCTCAACCCCCCCAAATCTCTCTGTCCCCCCAGTTCTCCATTCCCTGCATTACCTGGATGTGGCAATGTCAGAGCCCATCCCGGGGGTCCCCCAATTCATGGGTATTGGGTTCGTGGATGGGATCCCCTTCATGCGCTACGACAGCGAGCGGGGCCGGGTGGAGCCGCTGACGCAGTGGATAAAGGATGGAGTTGGGCCGGAATATTGGGAGGGGCAGACCCAGATTGCTGTGAGGACCCAGCACATGGTTGCCAGGGAGCTGGAGACACTGCGGGAGCAGTACAACCAGAGCAGGGGTGAGTGGGG